CTCGTGGCATTGAACGTTGGTGGTTGGGCGCAGATCCCCAGAGGTGGTGCGCCGGTCCCCAGAGCCTCGTGCAGGGAGCATCCAAGCTGGTCTCCCAGTTCAAGGCACCATTCCAGAGGATCCAAATGTCAGTCTCCGGAGCCCCATCACAGGCCACTGGAGCGCCGGTACGGATCGCCGTGAATGTGTCAATGGTCTCCAAGATGTTGATCTCTCGCTCCCCGTCTACAGAGCGGCAATGCTGTCTAAGCGCGAGGTGTAGATTACTGGGATATCGTCGAAGATCTGCCGAGTGCTGTCACAGGTCACCGGAGCCGCGGCACTGAGAGCCATCATCCCCAGTGCACAAGGGAGTGGCAAAAATTACTACGGCCCTGTGGCAAACACCCTCCTCCCTGCCCCCAATCACCAAATGGGCAGAAAGAAAATACATTGTTCCTGCTAAAGGATATGAGGATTTGTATACCCACTCTGCCCCAAGCTCGTTTGTGGTGTCCGTAGCCAGTGAGCACGATAGGCAGGGTCAACCAGGTTCAACACCAAAAAATAAGGAGGCGAAGAGGCTCGATCTGTTTGGTCAAAACATTTATTCTACTTCAAACCTCCAACTGAGGGTGGCCAACCATCCAGCCCTGCTCAGCTTATATGACTTCAAAATATAGCAGTTGATGGCTAAGTTTGCTGATTCTCTGCCGGAGGAGCCCAGGAAAGAATTCCTGGCTATCCTCGACAAGGGCATGGCAGTGGCCAGAGCAAGCCCTCCAGGCGGCCTTGGCTGCTGTGGACTCTGCAACCCAGACCATGGCTTCGGCCATTTTGTTGAGGTGGTGGTGGTCTGACCCAGCGATGGTACTGGAAGGTGTGCAGTTCGCAAGCCTGCAACCCAGGGTCTCACTAATATCGGATGAGTCTGGTCTCGGGTGGGGGGCACATCTGGGCACACTGAGCACACAGGGCCTATGGTCCAGGGAGGAGCTCGCACTTCATATAAACTTCAGGGAGCTGAGGGCCATTTGGCTGGCTTGCATGGGGTTCCTTCCCCACCTCTCCGGTCGGGTGATGCAGGTGCTAATGGACAACACGGCCTCCAGATTCTACGGCAACAGACAAGGAGGAGGCAGGTCATCAGCCCTGTGCCAGGAGGCCCTCTGTCTGTGGGACTTCTGCATCCAGCATGCGATCCACCTCACCTTCCTGGTGTCAGGGACACACAGGCAGATCGTCTCAGCAGGTCCTTCTTCTCTCATCACGAGTGGTCTCTTCACTTGGAGGTAGTCAGAATGCTTTTCCTGAGGGGGGACTCCCCGAGTGGACATGTTCACCACCAGACAGAACAGGAAGCGTCACATGTTCTGCTCCCTGCAAGGCCTTGGCGCAGAGGCTTACTTTCCGATGCCTTTCTCCTGTCCTGGTCTGGGAACCTGCTTTACGCCTTCGCACCTATTCCACTAATCAGCAAGGTCCTCTTCAAGATCATGAGGAACAAGGCCTGGGTCATCATGATTGCCCAGCTTGGCCACACCAACATAGGTTCGGCATGCTCATGGACCTGGCCATAGTGCCCCCGCAGAAGCTTCCCATCCGCCCAGACCTGCTGTCAAAGGACCATGGTCAGCTACTGCACCCAAACCTTGCATCACTCCATCTCAAGGCTTGGATGCTGCTGGCTGAACCTGGAGGAGTTGGCCTACTCTAGTCAGGTGCAACAGGTTCTCCTGGAGAGCAGAAAGCCCTCGACAAGTGCCACTTACCCGGCAAAGTGGAAGCAGTTCTCTTGCTGAGTAGTGGAGCGGAATATCTCCCTGATCCAGTCGTTGTTGCAGTGCATTCTAGATTACCTGCTTCACCTAAAGCATCAGGGTCTCGCCCTTTCCTCAGTCAAGGTTCACCTGGCAGCCATATCGGCCTTCCACCCTCGAATCCAGGGTAGGTCATTTTTTTCATATGACATAACGGCTAGGTTTCTGAAAAGCCTTGAAAGACTGTTTCCACCAGTCTGGGACCTGGTTCCTCAATGGGACCTCAACCTGATCCTTTCCAGGCTCACGGGCCCACCATTTGAGCCTATGGCTTTGTGTTCCCTTTCCCACCTGTCATGGAAGGTTGCATTCCGTGAAGCCATTACCTCAGCAAGGCGAGTCTCTGAGATTAGAGCTCTTACTTCAGAGCCCCCATACACGGTGTTCTACAGGCTTTCCTGCTGAAGGTGGTGTCGCACTTCCACGTCAACCAGGACGTTTTTCTTCGCGTGTTACATCTGAAGCCTCACACAAATAACGAGGAGAGGAGCCTGCATACTCTGGATGTTAGGCGGGCGTTGGCTTTCTACTTAAAGTACACCAACTCCTTCTGCAGGTTGACTCAACTCTTTGTTGCGGTAGCCGACAGGATGAAAGGTCTTCTTCCAGTGTCCTCTCAGAGAATTTCAGCTTGGATCACCACCTGCATCTGCACTTGCTACAAGTTAGCACAGGCTGTGCCTCCTCCAATAGTGAGGGCTCATTTGACAAAGTTGCAAGCATCTTTGACAGCTTTCCTGGCACAGGTCCCTATCCAGGATGTACGCAGCGCTGCGACATGATCCTCAGTGCACAGGTTCACGAATCATTATTCTGTCACTCAGCAGGCCAGAGATGATGTTGGTTTTGGCAGAGCTGTGTTGCAATCGACATGTCCATGAACTCTTACCTGCCTCCGGTGGTACTGCTTTGGGAGTCACCTACAATGGAATGGACATGAGCAAGCACTCGAAGAAAAGACAATTATCTTTTTCGTAACTGGTGTTCTTCGAGATGTGTTGCTCATGTGTATTCCATGACCCATCCTCCTTCCCCATTGTCGAAGTGTCTGGCAAGAAGGAACTGAGGGTGGGGGGAGCTGTTAGCACCCCTTATACCACAGCATACGTGCGCCACTCCAGAGGGTGCCAAAGCCGGTCCCTTATGGATACCACTGAGGGAAAAACTTCCGGCACTGGTGCATTGGGGAGCACACACACATACAATGGAAAGGACATGAGCAACGCATCTCGAAGAACCCCAGTTACGAAAAAAGTAACTGTCTCTTTCTCTCTGAGCATCCCTCTCTCTCTGCAGCTTCCTGCTGCCCTTTGTAGGGGAAACAGGTGAACCATGTTCAAGTGTGACTATTTCCTAACTAGGGTTGGCTGGCCCCTGGCCTTAAAGAGGCAAGTCAACCTGTTACACCATGCATTTGCTATTTTGATGTTTATGTTGCGTTCTCAAATCCTTAGAAGAACTATGAGTTAAAGCAATATTCTTTCATTAATGAAGATTTATTGTTATATCATTTTAAGAAGTGTTCTCTTGTTATATACTTGTGCTGGATGTTTTCAGAATGTTTTTTAAATTTTTACTCATGTATATATTTTTGACTGTCTACTTTCCGAGCAGCTATGAGTAGGTTGTTTGAATAGATTTCAGTAAAGGTCACTTACTGTTTGTTCTGGGGTTTTAATGCCTTCTTGCTGGATGATCTTAAGCGTTGGGCTTATTTCTCTGGGACTTTAATTGAGTATAAACTTATGCCTTGGAATATATGTAGGTGATAACAATCATAGCTCAGTGAAGTTTTGTATTAATAGTATTCCTGCTGTAATTGCTTGGCACTTTTTTTTAAGATTCACTCAATCAACCTAAACCAGTATAGTTCTTTTAACAGAACGTTGTGTTTCTGCACCTTACTGGGTGTATAAGAAAATTTCTAGTTATGTTTCCAAATTTGACTTTATTTTAAATAGTAAACATTCCCTGTGATATCCTTATGGGACCATAGTTAAATGGTCATATGTCTGATACTTGTATTTTATGATTTCAGCATCATTTGTATGACCAAGAAAACATCGCTCGTGTAATTTAAATGTGAAGGGACAGTGTTCTCTATTTTGGAGTAAATTTCGATTTTGGTCTATGGTGATTTGTGCAAGGACTCCCTTTAATGTTAGGAATAGCACATGATAACCTCTCTGTAGCAGAGCGCAGCTGGCCCTCCTGGCTCCTGCCTCGATTATGCTCAGCTAAAGTCACTCATAGACCCTGGGGTTCAGGAACCACTGGTGCTTTTCTTTACAAGTTTGTGCTCCCACCACCTTCTCACCATAGAGCATACACAGCTCTGGGTTCCTTGTGTCTGAACCTGGGAGGGAAGGACTTTCTGCCTGCCTGCACTCCTCCCTCCCACCACCCTGGCTTCCTTCTTCCCAGCCTCTTATATAGCCCTGGGCTAATTGGGCTGGCAACTGGCTCTCATTCCCCAATTAGGGCAGGTTCTTTCCAGCCAGCTCCACTTTATTCACTTAAATGGGGCTGGCATGGCAAGGGGCTGATTCTGCAGTCCTTCTGCTCAGCACCCTGTCACACTCTCCTGTTCTTTTTGTTTGGTTTGATTTGTTTTTTTTTTGTAATTCATCACATTTATATTTCTTTATTTGAACTACTAATGTGTATGTAATTCTAAAAGCGTATTTTACAACAAAAATCTGCATTTGAAGGGAGAAGCTTGGCTAGTGGTCAGAGTAGGGAACTGGGAGACCGGATACCAGCATTCTATTTGCTGTTTTGCCACTTACAGTGTACCTTTGACAAGTCACTCTAATTACTGTCTGAGATTATGGAGATGGGCAAACTGCTGAGACCTTGTGTCTCCAAGTGGATTGGTTTGGCTGCACCTGTTGGAGGATCAGAGGAAGGAGATAGCCCTTGCTCCCTGCTTGTATGAGTCTTCTGGGACCTGGGGCTGAGTGTGTGTGTGTGTGTGTGTGTGTGTGTGTGTGTTATATGTCTGCATTTATATGTCATGGGTTAAATGGAAGATATTGTCTTCTACAAATGAAATACTACTTCATCTGCTGTAAATAGTAAAGACTACACTCAGCTTAACTAATTTTACTTTTTAGGTCTCACTTCATTTCAAGAGAAAAGAGTTGACTTTCTGATAATACTATTTTTAAAATCACTTGCTTATTTATTTACTTAATTCAGCTGTCCACACAAGGAGATGCCAGCCAAGTGATTGGACCCCTTACAGAAGGACAGAGAAGGAATGTGGCTGTAGTGAATTCACTGTACAGGCTACACCAATCAGTGCTGAAGGTAAGTTTTTAGCGATACTTAACTTCTTGCCATTAATTTTGATTACGTTCTTTGCTTTTTCTTAGACTTAGTCAGCCTTGCATTGATGAGAATTCATACAAATACATTTTCAAGATTATTTGAAACATAGAAACAGCATAGAACAAAGTTTGTGATTTGTGTATAAATGAGGCTTGTGTTATAACTAGTGAATACTGTTTGGTGGATTAGCATAGGTCTGCTTTTCATCATACATTTTTTGCCTTGTCTGTATATTATGTATCATTTTACCTGTGACGTGGTAAATTAGGAAACTGTCAAAGAACTGGATAGAATATAGATTTTTCTCTTGAATTTAGGTGACTAAACTATCAACTGAGTTTGCTGTGATAATTAATAAAAAAACAGTTTGGTTTTCAGTGACATAGAACAATATTTAGAATGGAACAAATGTTCCAAAACCCTCCTACGCAAAAAGGCTAAGGGGCTAGGACCTGCGAGATGGGAGAGGCCAAGAGTTTGGGCTGCAGACCAAACCTGAATACCGCAATTGAACAGCCTCTTAGCTCTAGCCCCACGGGTGTCTAATTGCAGTGTAGACATACCCAATAAAGTTTACTGACACAGTGCTGACTATGGTTACACAGTCAGTATAAACCAGAACAAACTGCATTCACCATTGTATCTGCTCAACGTGATAAAATCTTGGTCTGAATAGACACATGATCATGAATGCCTGACTGCGGACGCTGACTTGAGAAAAAAAAATAATAAAAAGGTTCAAAAAGCATATAAAACCTGTATGGGTTTTGCAAACAGGTGTAGATTAACTCTGATGTAATGAATCTAGCGTGCTTTGGTATTGGAGAGAGATCTGATGTGATTCATTCTTAACTGTGAATTTAATAGTCAATACACTATTTTAAATTAGATAAATATAACATAATGTTACCTGTAAGGAGATTGGTAGGATGTTTCCAGGTTTGATTCTTGACATCTAGTCCGAATGGTACTGTAGCTGGGATTTGAGCAATTATTTAAAGTGGAAGATTTTAACTTACAAGGAATTCCTGCTATTATTTACAGCTGCACAGTTCTCCATAAATCCCACACACATCAGTAGGAGAACAGACCACTTACCTTTTATCATGTTGTGCGTCTCTTACGTCAAGCTATAAATCTTGGAAATTAGAGATTTCAAAATGAATATTTGGCATAAGAAAAAATTAAAGGTCTATCCAGATGTTGTTGAACTGATGGAAATCGGATTTTTGGCTTCAGTGGGAACTGATTTCAGAGTAACAGCCGTGTTAGTCTGTATTCGCAAAAAGAAAAGGAGTACTTGTGGCACCTTAGAGACTAACCAATTTATTTGAGCATGAGCTTTTGTGAGCTACAGCTCACTTCATCGGATGCATACCGTGGAAACTGCAGAAGACATTATATACACACAGAGACCATGAAACAATACCTCCTCCCACCCCACTGTCCTGCTGGTAATAGCTTATCTAAAGTGATCATCAAGTTGGGCCATTTCCAGCACAAATCCAGGTTTTCTCACCCTCCGCCCCCCCCCCCCCCCACACACACACACAAACTCACTCTCCTGCTGGTAATAGCCCATCCAAAGTGACCACTCTCTTCACAATGTGTATGATAATCAAGGTGGGCCATTTCCTGCACAAATCCAGGTTCTCTCACCCCCTCACCCCCCTCCAAAAACCACACACATGCTTCCAGCTTTCACCCTGACCATACCACACGATCCATCGTCTACAACCGCATTTGCTCCAACCCCTCAGACAGAGACAAACACCTACAAGATCTCTGTCAAGCTTTCTTACAACTACAATACCCACTGCGGAAGTGAAGAAACAGATTGATAGAGCCAGAAGAGTTCCCAGAAGTCACCTACTACAGGACAGGCCTAACAAAGAAAATAACAGAAAGCCACTAGCCGTCCCCTTCAGCCCCCAACTAAAACCCCTCCAACGCATTATTAAGGATCTACAACCTATCCTGAAGGATGACCCAACACTCTCACAAATCTTGGGAGACAGGCCAGTCTTGGGAGACAGCACAAATCCAGGTTTTCTCCCCAACCCCCTCCTCAGACGTTCTTGTTAAACCCTGGATTTGTGCTGGAAATGGCCCACCTTGATTATCATACACATTGTAAGGAGAGTGATCACTTTAGATAAGCTATTACCAGCAGGAGAGTGGGGTGAGGGGGGAAAGAAAACCTTTTGTAGTGGTAAACGCCCATTTTTTCATGGTTTGTGTGTATAAAAAGATCTTCTGTACTTTCCACAGTATGCATCTGATGAAGCGAGCTGTAGCTCACGAAAGCTTATGCTCAAATAAATTGGTTAGTCTCTAAGGTGCCACAAGTACTCCTTTTCTGATTTCATATTGTTGAATTTTCTAACTTTTAAAATCTTGTCCATCTATAACACAGTTGTTCATTATTTATAAATATGGCAAACTTTTGTTTCAGTAATGGGAATAGCTAAATATGTTTTCAGTCCAAACAAAATTCTGGGGTCATTAATCATTCACTGAGCTTTAACTAGTTTAACAGTTATTTACATATTTCAGGTAGTTTCCAGCCAGAGTTCATTCCCAGCAGCTGCTGAACAAACTATAGCTACAGCCTTAAAGGTAATTGAATGTCAACATGCTATAAAGTTATATCAAAAGTTTGTTGTATTTGCCATACTTACAATGGGCACTGTAACTTACTTAACTTGTGAGTTTTGTCTTGTTCTGGCATTTTTTTGTCAACATGGACCTTACTTTCTGGCCAAAATATTCATTCATTTCAAATTCTCAGTAATTTGTACTTCCTCTAACTATTTGCGGATGAAGAGGCTATTTAGATTTAAGTAGTATTTGTATTTGAGAGTTCTGATATTCTGATGATGCTTGGAGCCCATACATCCGCTTTGACAATAAATGTATTTCCCTTCAATCTTCACACAACAAGCACTGGATCCTCTACTCCCTCTTTCCTCAACAGTTTGGTGCTTTTATCTCTCAGGGTGATTAATACATCTGGGTTTCTGTGGATAATGGCTGTCTGGACCCATCCCTCTATAATCCCTGTCTTGAGTGATGATGACAAGTAGAGGACAGGAGGCATGCCTACAGCAGGAGTGGATAATAGGCTTACGTGTGTGCATCAAAATGTGTATCTTTATATACAAGGGATGTCAAAGTGCACCGCCACTATGAAATAAACTAGTAATAGTAAAGTGGCCTTTATTTCTCTACCTTACTGAAATGGTTGAACAAATTAAATGTTGTAAGACTTCCATTTTCCTTTCCTTTAAATGTTTGCGGTTTGGAATAAAAGGGCACTGGTAACATAAAGGAGACAAATGTCTGTAATAAATAATTTATCCTAAATCAATATATTTTGGTGGTGTCAGTGTTTGTACTTTTTGTTCATAATTGATTTTGTCCTCTCACTTCATTTTAGACAATCCATGATCTCATGGGTAGTGCTGTGCAACCCTTACTGAACTCAGTAGGAGACTCAGTGGAGGCCATTATCATCACTATGCATCAGGAAGATTTTTCTGGGTAATCAGCCACTATCTTCATAATATGGCATTGTCTTGGTAAACTATATTGTATATGCATAATACCACAGTGACCTTTGCAACAGGATCACTTGTCTGGGAGCTCATGATACTTGATTGTCTTTTTGCACAGAAGGCAGCAACATGGCTGGCCATTGAACTGAGTGACCAAAATTATATCACTCTTGCCTTTGTCCTTTTTCTTTTTTGGCTATCTTAAAGTAAAATTGGTCAAAAAATTTTCATTTTTTTAAGTAAGGGGAGCTTTATTCAAAACCAATGTTTTTGTGAACAGTTTTGTTTTTCAGAATAAACTTTGTGGCTTTTTTATCTAAAACGTTCATAACCATTTCAGAGTTTATAATGTAGATAAAAATGTCTATCAAAATTTGTTTACTGAAGAATGGATTTTTGGTAACTAAAATATTCTGATAACTGTTTTCAATAACATTTTCTGTAAGGTTTTAGATTAAAATTTCCATGAAAAAATTAAGTGAAATTTTTTGAAAAAAAACAGTAATCGGAGGTCAGTTTTGAGCCTTATAAAATGAAAACAGCTGCAAAATTTCAAAAATTTTCACATTTTCATTTTTTGACCAGTTGTATTACAAAGTGTATAAGTAAAGTAAGCAGTCATGGAATAAGAGGGAAGGTCCTCTCATGGATCGTAACTGGTTAAAAGGCAGGAAACAAAGGGTAGGAATAAATGGTCAGTTTTTACAATGGAGAAAGGTAAATGGCGGTTTCCCCGAGTTATCTGAACCGGAACCAGTGCTGTTCAACATATTCATAAATGATCTGGAAAATGGAGTAAACAGTGAGGTGATGAAGTTTGCAGATGATACAAAATTATTCAAGATAGTTAAGTTCAAAGCAGACTATGAAGAGTTACAAAAGGATCTCACAAAACTGGGTGACTGGGCAACAAATGACAGATGAAATTCAGTGTTGATAAATGCAAAGTAAAGCTTATTGGAAAACATAATCCCAAATATACATACGAAATGATGGGGTCTAAATTAGCTGTTACCACTCAAGAAAGATCCTGGAGTCATTATGGATAATTCTCTGAAAACATCTGCTCAATATGCAGCAGCAGTCAAAAAACCTAACAAAGTTTGGAACTAATAAGAATGGAATAGATAACAAGACAGTAAATATCATAATGCCACTGTGTAAATCCATGGTACACCCACACCTTGAATACTGCATGCAGTTCTGGTCGTCCTGTCTCAAAAAAGTTATGTTAGAAATGGAAAAGTACAGAGAAGGGCAACAAAAATGATCAAGGGTGTGGAACCGCTTCTTTATGAGGAGAGATGAAAAGAGATGACTATGGGGGGATATGATAAATTTCTGTAAAACGATGAATAGTGTGGAGAAATGAATATAAAGTGCTGTTTACTCCTTCACTCCATTCACATACCACAAGTCACCCAGTGAAATGAATAGGTAGCAAGTTTAAAACAAACAAAAGGAAGTACTTCTTCACACACACTACACAGTCAATCTATGGAACTCATTGTCAGGGGATGTTGTGAAGGCCAAAATTATAACCGGATTAAAAAAAAAATTAGACAAATTCCTGGAGGATAGGTCCATCTACAGTTGTTTGCCAAGATGGTCAGAGTTGCAACCCCATGCTCTGGGTAACCTTTGATTGTCAGATGCTGGAACTGGGCGACAGAGGATAGATGACTTGAAGGTTTCCCTGTTCTGTTCATTCCCTTTGAACCATCTGGCACTGGCCACTGTCGGCCCTGGGCTGGATGGGCCATTGGTCTGACCCAGTATGGCCATTCTTATGAGGAGGTTGATTTTCAACAGACTCTCCTGGTTTGGAAAGCCCTTCACCAGGAGAGACATAGCTAGATTTGAGACCTGCTGTGAGAGCCTGGTCCTGGTGGGTATGTGCACTCTGACACCATTTATCTTAGAGTGAGAGGCTCCACAGACATAAGTGATGGCAAGCCATAGTGGGTGCTATTTGCTTCCCCTGCACATCTTGCTACAGTTCATCCATTCCCCTTTCTTTAAAAAAAAAAAAAAAAGTCTGTTGCAAACAATATCTTTTCAAAGGTGTTTTTCCCTTTTGCAACCTTTCCTGCTGATGGCACTTGCGCACACTCTCCGGTTCGATCTTTTGATTCAGACTGTGGACTAAAACCTGCAAGTCGTTATGTGTCCTCAACTCCCACTGACATCTGGGAGGGCCTTGGCTATAATTCAAAGAGAGAGAGTGCGATTCCTGGTTACCATGTCCTATATCTTGCAGTACTCTGTTTCTTCACTGATTAGAAGAGAGTGCCTATAATCCTGGGTGTGGGACTTGAACAATCTAAGAGACTAATTCTGTGCAGAGATTGGTCTTGGGACAGACTGCACTAGTAACCTTGTGATATGTAGCCTGATATTATGTGATCTTTTATTAGAATATTATACAAACTGCTGGGACACTTAAATTTGGGGGCTGGATTTAGAGCTTTAAAGCTTGCAGGCTGATGGAGGGTCTGCAAGCTGGATAGGAGGGGGTGATTTCCTCTATCTTATGATGTCAGCAGTGGTAGATCAAGAGATATTTTAGACTGCAGTTCCAGAGGGATCGACACACTCCTTTGTTCCAAGCAGACATAGGATGTTGTAACTCATGCCACCAAAGGAAAATTACTACATGGGATAAGAAGAAAATTAAAAAGAAACGAATACTTTGTAGTTGTATTATAAAAATGAATTTAGCATCTTACATTTTTGGCAGATCATTATCCAGCTCAGGAAAACCAGACGTCCCTTGTTCTCTGTACATGAAAGAACTACAGGGCTTCATAGCAAGAGTCATGAGCGACTACTTCAGACACTTCGAGTGTTTCGACTTTGTCTTTGACAACACAGAAGCCATTGCTCAGAGAGCAATTGAACTTTTTATTCGCAATGCCAGTCTACTGAGACCCCTTGGTGAAGGTGGGAAAATGCGACTTGCTGCTGACTTTGCACAGGTAAACTTAGCCAGGGCTGGCTTCCATTTTGTTTGTTTCCCTCTTTTAATGGAAACATGTAGATGCTTGGTAAATATACACTTTTTCCCCCCATCGCAGTTGCCCATTGTCTTAGTTGGGTCTGCAAGATTTCATCCTGTGAGAAAGAGAATCTTGAGAAATTTATCCACTAAATAATCAATGAGGGCCCTTCTCATCATAAGGCAAACTCAGCAAAGCCCTATACCTTCCGGTCAAATTACTGGTGCATTGAAATTCGTCAGCATTTTGAAACTTTTTAATACTGAACAATAGTCTTCAGTGCTAGATCCATCATTTGCTACCACTCCCCCCATGCCACCTCCCTGTAAGATGGTTTTCCTTTCTTAATTGCTTTACCCACTGTGCCAGCACTGATTGTGGTCGTGGACTGACCTACTTTGCAGTGTAGCATACAAATAAACATAAACAGAGTGTGAAAGGCCTGCCGGGTTGCTGTGAATACTGAAAGAATGACAGTGTTGTCTGTGTTTCTGCTGGTGACATGGTCAATTTCCCTGTCTCATATTTTTTGCCTTAACTTGTATTGGACTGGTGAACTAAGCTCAATCAAGTAGATAATTCCAGTTTCCAGTGAGCTACTTCCTATTTTCAGATGAAAGCATCTTAATAGTAATATAGTGCAGAGTGAACCTGTTAGGGAACATAACACAAATATTCGGCACTTTGTTATCCTAATTCTAGGTCAGCTTCAGGGTATTGGTCCTTATTTTCAAGCTCTAAGGAGCAGCTTAGGATCCAAACATCTCAGAGACAGCCTCTGCCTCCAGCTTCATTCAACAGGGGCCTTGGCTGACATAGCTGAGGATCAAACCCAAGAACGCTGGTGACAGAGCGTTTCATATAGAGACCTTAGTTGTGGAATTGACTACTACTAGAGAACAGGTGGGACCCAGGTCTTGTGGTCTTCAGGGCTCACCCCTTCATCAAGCTAAACTGTGTAATGGCCTCAGCCACATGCTGCTGAATAAACCACCTGGGTTCACCAGCTAGTTCATAGCATCATAATCCTTCAGCAAGGAAGTTAATGGGAGATTTTCCATTGACTTCAGTGGGAGCAGGAAAGGGGCCAGAATGACCTAAAATGTGGGGCAAGGAGGACAATTGATTCCTTCTCCTGCATAAATATTGATGTACTTCTTAAATTCAGTAAGTATTTATATCTGATGTTACAGTATAGAGTGCCTTTAAATATATATTATTATTATGAAAATACCCCCTTCCTTTATCTTTCTAAATGCATCTTTTTTTATCAATCCGATTACAATAATACAGGTCTTATCTAAAAGGCAGTGGTATGTTCTTACCTCAGTGTGAGGGGGTTTACACACTGTCTCCCACTGTGTTATCTGTACTTCCTGAATGTGTAATGGAATGAGTTCTCTGATCTCTATGCTTTTGTGCTGCAGGAAAGATTTTAAACTAGACCTACAATTGCTTGGTTCTGAGTCCTTCCTCTTTTCCTGTCTAGCTGCCTTGTGTTCCCTTCCTCTCCTCTTAGCTCCCCCTTACCTCCTCTTCCTGTTTGCCTTGTACTTGTAACCAGAAATAGCTGGATGCTGGGGCCTCTCCTGCTGCTGTCTTATTTGTTGTTCAGCTTTTCTCGTGGCAGCACTTCCAACCCAGCTAGCGAGGAGGCCTGGCAGGGGATATCTGATATACTGGGCCATAGAAAACTTTGTGTAAAAAGTAAAATGCTTGGTGCAATGATACTCTAGTATGGATCTTTCCTTTTTGTTAGCATTGCAAGCAGGGGGAAGATCAGCCCTACCACTTACTAGCAGTCAGTTCAAGTCCTCCAGTATATATATCACCGGTGAACTGAGAACCTCTATACAATCCCCACAATGCCATATACTTTGTTGCATTATAAAATAGTGTATTATAGATGCTCTCTGGCACTTTGGCTAATTGTGTGACAGACTGTCAGATATACTCCTGAGCACTATCAACATGAAATGTTCTGTAACTTGTGTGCTTCTGTACATCGTTTAACAGAACACTCAAGGTGCATCTTAATGTCTAAAAATGTTTGCAGTGCTGCAGGTTTACTGTCCTATATTATACTACTTATTGGAATTCCTATGTTTTAAAAGTGTGACAGCCTACAAAGGTTGAATGCGCCTGCAATTCATGCTGACTTAGAACTTTTATAGAAGATCCAAGAATGGGCCTACTGTTAAGTTAACTGCTGTTCATTTCTGGACCAACATATTTGGTAAAGGTGGAGTTTTTGAAAAAATAAAAATAATTTGCTACCATGGATGCACTGGTAAGCTTTCCTTTCACTTTTAGAGCTAGTTAAATTAGAAGTGGTTTTTCTGGAGTCAGTCGAGCCCTCTTAGGTGACATTTTCTTGACATTTATATTTCCAATCAGGTATCAGCTGGGCATTGGACAACCTTTTAACCTGCTCATTACTAAGAGTTTTGTTACTTAGTAACAAAACCAAGGTCTCTCGGGTTACAGTGACCTCCATGTATTTTAGACATTCTGAGATTAAAAATATGCGTTAGAATCATACATTGCCCTTTACATGACATGCAACTCTAAATGATTGATAGAGACAGTAAAGCAGAGAATGAAATTTAAACACTATACATTTTGGAATTTATTTAGAAGGAACAAGGATTCCTCAATATTTGGGCATAGAAATTTGATAGGCTGCTGAGATAAGGTTCCTAAACTCATTGCTGTGTAAGAGACCAGACCCTTCCAAAATCCATGCAACCCTGCAAATGCATCATACAGCAAGGGTTCTCAAACTGGGGGTCGGGACCCCTCAGGAGGTCGCAAGGTTATGACCTGGGGAGTTGCGAGCTGTAAGCCTCCACCCCAAACCCTGCTTTACTTCCAGCATTTATAATAGTATTAAATATATAAAAAAGTGTTTTTAATTTATAAAGGGGGGTCACACTCGGAGGCTTGCTGTGTGAAAGGGGTCACCAGTACAAAAGTTTGAGAACCACTGCCATACAGCATAACTGTGCATCTTAGCACATTGTAAACAGTAACTTTAAATCATAATATAGCTGTTATAGCTAAACAAGGTGTATCTATAAGCAGCTGTAGAAAGAAAGGTTGGTGCGACTGCTGTTGGTAGGACAGAAAGATGTTTCCTCCTACCAGCCAATCCCAGCACCTGAAAAAAGCCTTTCTTCAATGGCTGAAACGAGTGTTGATGCCATCCAGACAATTCATAGGCCCTACTCCAGCACCAGTTGTTGTGGCCGACAGCAATCTTTATTTAAAATATAAAAACTGGACATACTGTGAATACAAGAATGAACATTCCAGCAGAAATATGCTCACTCACCCCTCATTGAAGAATCTAATGCAGTCTAACAAATTAAAAAATCAAATTAAAAAGCAGTCTTTTACTCCTCTGAATTTAACTAAATACGTCAAGGTACAGTACAAACCCTGTAACGCTGGAGATCTAGAGAATCTGAGTTTGTTGTTTATGTGTATTTTTAACAAATAAGTTTCACTCTATTCCCACTTTGCATGACTCAATTCTAGAGTCTACTGTAGACTTCCAAGCTTACAAAGAAATATTTCTTTGGCAACTAGTGCTTCACGATGCAGCCATCTGCTGCCTTTAAAGTTTGTCTAGTTCTGGCAATAGAAATAATTAGAATGAATGAAGATTGACATTTAAGGGACAGAGTATTCTAAAGTAAATTATGTTCTTTCAAATACTTAAGACCAAAAAATATGAATTTAGGGACATTCCTAAAGCTTGTATAATATAGAGAATTGAAATTTGTTTTAATGAATTTAAATATTTGGTTTTGCTGTAGGAAACAAAAGTTCAACTAAAATCTTGCCACATTATATCCACTTTGGGGGGAAAAATGTGTTAGGAAAAGGCGGAATATGATGTCACCTTTGTTTGGTTCCCTTCTTTGTCATCAGGAGCAGTTTGCTCCATATATCTTGATTTTCAAAGGTCCAAACAGCAGTTGGGTGCCTAGGATGGAATTGTCTAAAGTACCTAAGGGTGCTCTCATTGAAAGGCAGATGTTTCCTCCTACCACCAGCCAGTCCCAGCAGCTAGAAAAACGTGCAGGGGAAATCTCACCCAAACCCTGTTAACTTTCAGTGAGAGTTAAATGTCTAACTGGCATTTGGACCTTTGAAAATCTCCCTGTTATTACTACTTTACTCTATCAGAACTGCCGTGCTTGCTTTTATCATTTTCACTATGGAGAAATGAACCTGTCTGAAAGCATGAGTACAGTTTACCATGCCTGCTTTGTTCTCTCATGCTCACAGTAACCAAGAATCCCGCATGTACAATTAAATGTTCTTTATGAACTCTCTTTGTCAACATGTGATCTGATAGTTCTGTTTCAGATATCATTACATGATTAGAAATAATAAGAATATTAAAGGTCTTGTTATAAATGTCTTGCCACCAGTGAAACCAGTTCATTAATGTTCTTTAAATGGTAAGATGTTATAAAAATAGTTTCTGGTTGTTTGCATTATACTGCTCTGGATACTCAGTTTTAGCTTTGCCCCTTTGAACCTTGTATTATATGGAGTCACTTGTATTTCAGTGACTCCATATAATGTTTTTTCAGTTTACTAATAGAAACGTGTTTTCAACTTCTGTTTTATTAAACTCTAAAATCTGAAAGTTCATTTGTTCTTTTTGGCTTATACATCTTCACCATTAATCAAGATTCTGCAGCTGAAACTCAAGTTCTCTGTCCTCTGTGAACCATGTACCCACCAGAACAGAGACTAGCTCACTCTCCAAAGGTAGTAAGAATTTCACAGTGCTAAGAAGTGTTTAAAAAAAAAATCTTATTTTTGTTACTGAAGGCAGCAGAGATCACTCAGAGCAGATTGTTAAGAAGTTGTCACTTTTACAGAGACATTCTTTTGACTATGACCACACTTCAATGTGTGTTAGTGACAACAGTTCCCAGCGGTCATCTCCTAATTCATGTAGGCTTGTGCCCAAGTCTTTTGTGGGGATGTGTGTTTTCAGTCATAAATCCTTTAACAAGCCCTTTCACCAGAGGGAGAATCAGCCACTTTTGTGGGGGAGCCCTGGACCGGTTTCCAATAATAAGGCCCCATCAATAGGGTCACCAACGTCTGTCTATTATCCCCTTTCTTCCCAATCTTAGCCCAGATTGTTGGATATGGGGAGAACTTTACTGCACCAGTGAACCCACCGGTAAAGATTAAACATATTGAGATAAACAACGCACCAAACTCATTGGCAAAGTTCATTGTATCTCTCACGTAATTGCTCTGCAAACCAGAAAGTCTGTAGCCAACATAACCACTTCCTGCTGTATGATGGTTGTGGTGTTGAAAAGAAGAGAGCAAAAAGCCCTGGCCCAGTCAATCTGCCGTGTGGAGAAAATTTCTTCCTGACGCCAAACGTGGCAATTACTGATATGCTGATGACCCATCCCATGACCTCTACTTATTGTTAGATGCAGAGCTTTGCATCTGGGGACATTCTGATTTAAGTAAAAGTCTTTTTATTGTACAGATGGAGTTAGCAGTGGCCCCACTCTGCAGGCGAGTGTCTGATCTAGGAAAGTCTTATAGGCTGTTGAGGTCATTCAGGTGAGTTACAATCACAGTATCTCTAGCAATTGGTAATGTGGTCAAATAATATTATTAAATTAATTTCCTACTTCTTGTTGCTTGTGATTCTAATTAAAAACCTTCCGGCAACTTCACATGCAAATTAGCAACAAATTAGTGTTTTTCCTTTTAATTTTTATTCATACTGTAACTACAATTTGGTGAATTTTGTCATGCTAATGTCAGTTAAATTGTACCTTCTTGGATTGTATTTGATGTTAGTTCTTATGATAATGAACTGTATAGTTAGACCGAGGGTTTTCATAGAAATATAAAACTTACATTCCAATGTTGGGAGATTGTTTAATTAAAATAATACGCTTCTTGTACAAATGATCACCTGCCAAATTCTGCATTACAAAGCAATGATGCAAAGTGGCAAAAAACAAATGAGATGCACAGGCAGAAATAATTCTCTCTCTAAAAGGCCTAGCACAGTATTGGCACTCTATAAATAATAATAATATTCTAAGATGTATCTTTTTCCTTTCTTTCATGATTATATTGTGTAACTTGTGCTTTTTCCAGACCACTGCTGTTCCAGACTAGTGAGCATATTGCCAATAGTCCAGCTGTGGGAGATATTATTCCATTCAGCATTATTCTTCAGTTCTTATTTACAAGATCACCACCTGAATTAAAATCACCATTTCAGGTAACCCGGTCAAGCCATCTTCCTTTTTGAAATATTCCATTAATAGATTCACTCTGCCACACATCAGTGCCTCCTCTCTAATTAGCTTTTGTTTGAACCCACATTCAGGATACAGTTTATTGGTTCTGTTTTTATTAGTTTGTGGCGAAGGTGCTCAGGTCACTTGTTTTATATTTTCGTTAGTTTGTAGAAGTAAAAAAAACCAAAAAACCAATCATCCTGCAGATAAGATATACTGAAGTGGGCTCACAAATTTTTTTTATTCTCCCAGATGAATGTATGAGTTTTCCTGGTGTTCATTTTAAAGCTGACAATTCGTAACTTCAAATATGCCCATGAAAAGGGGTTTATTGTTTTCTTTTATGTTGTTAAATTCTTCCAATGTATTGTTCAGTGGAGATGGAGTAAAAACTCCCTCTAAGAATTCTAAGTGAATCTACATCTTTGTGTCATCTAAAATTTCTTAGATGAGAGCCAGTTTATTTTTATTGCTGATTAGCAGTTGTGATAGTGATGAACCAGCTTCACTTGACTTTAATTTAGTTTACCTTTGTGTCTGACAATTGTGCATATTTCTTTGACATTATAGCAAATATCTTCTATATACTAGTGTTTAATGGGTCCATATTTCTGTGTATCAGAGAGCAGAGTGGTCCATTGCCCGTTATTCCCAATGGCTTGATGACCATCCATCTGAAAAGGACAGACTTGTTCTCATAAGGTAAAAACAATTATTCTCCTGTTTGAATGTATTACTGTGAAGCAGTATTTTAGCTGAAAAAACAGGATTGCTCTTGTGAAGTAAGATGTGAGCTATAGGGGCTTTATTCCAAAGAGTGTCATTTTCTGCCCATCTTTAGAGGTGAGCTGCAAAGGGTTTCCCCCCAAAAATCCACCCCAAAACACTCCTTAGTTAAATTTTAAAAGAAGGAAAATGCACACAAAGTGGTTTAGGAATGTAGTAATCACTACATTTTCACAAAATTACCTCCTTAATATCCTGAGAAATCTAGGTTCCAGCCTTCCTGCTTCCGATGCTAGAAGCAAGTGACATCACAGCCATAAACAAAGGGAATTAAAATAGGTGTTCAGAACGGAAAACTTTTGTTTATGATAGTTGTGGTATCATTCATTCTTTTAGAGAAATCAAGAAGTCAGCAGCGGTTAGGACTTTTTCCTGATTTAGAATCTTAGAAAAGAGTTTTGCAGTTTTTTTCAAAACCTGCAGTTGACCTTTAAGAAATGTAATAGAGAAATTCAACAGTGGTGCAAAGCTAAGGAGCTACATATTTGTGATTATTCTATAAACTTGCTTCTACTTATTGATCATCACTTGATCAATTATTAGTTATCCAACATGCTAACAAAATCTACAAGTCATAAGTCCTGTGTCCTCTCCCTAACTTGTTTTCACCTATTATTATAGACTATATAATTGACTATATGGGGAAGCAGTGAAACTGATTCTGTACAAAATGCTGTCCAAAAAGTGCACAAAGAAAACATATTGGAAAAACAGAGAAGAGTATTTTTCAGTCTCCGACCTTTTTCGGTTCCAATAATCTACGTGCAGCAATGGTAGTTAAAACACATTCAGACAAACTGTACCTTTCAAGTGATGGGTCTCTTGTAGCAGGTATTTTCAGAACTCTAATAGTACTTGGAAATAACTCTTTCTTGACAAGACCATGCAAACAATTGACCATGTGACCTTCGTAGTACCTAAGCCTTGGGTCCTTTTGGAACACTGAAGTCATCATAAAATGCTACACAGAGGCAAAGGTTAACATTTGATTTGTTTACATTGAATATGACATGCTTACAAAGGCCTGACAGTGGCACTGCAGCCTGTGATCTGGAGGATGGGAGGGGAAGTGCTGCAGTTTGAGGCCCTGCAGAACTTCAAATGCAGGTAGAATCCCTCATGGGGATTCAAGGGATGCATTGTGGAGTGGCAGGTCTGTTGAGCTGGCTCTTTGTGCTACACCACCTCTACTGCTTCGATGTGAAGGGATAGTGGGGCTATGGCCGTGCCTTTCCCTGCCTCCTTTTGGGAGTTTCATACTGCTGTTGGTGCTAGCCAGGACAATGCTCCCACCCCTGCACTAGGGTGCCTAGCCCCTGCAGGAAATCCTCTTGCAGGGAGGCTCACAATCTAGCCCAATCTGATTAGGAAGCAACATTGTGACTGTGTACTTATGTGTGTGTACATTCCGATCGTCTGCTGAAATTATAATAGCTGGCATTTACATTTCAGCCAGCAATATTTTTGTTGAAAAGAAATACTTATCTATCTGTCCTTTTAAACAGAAATTAAAATATACAGTCAATAGAAGTCTGCTGTAAATATTTATACTGTAAATATAATGATAGCATACATATGAGAATGGCTGGTTGATGTATTTTACCACAGACTTATTTCATAAGCATCTGTGAGTTATTGTCATGCGGTGGCTCACATACAATTGGAATTAAAATTTGGAAGTTCATGTACAACTATTAAACTGTTCTCCTTTTCTTCTGTGTTACACCTTATGGTATTTGAACCTGTTGCATTTAGAATACGTAATTGCTAAGTGACTCTGTCTGCATCGTGTCTCTCAATGTGCAGCGGCAGTCAGAAACGCTAATAGAATGTTAGGGACCATTAGGAAAAGGATAGATAATAAGACAAAATATCATAAAGCCACTATATAAATCCATGGTACACCCAAACTTTGAATACTGCATGCAGTTCTGGTCGCCCTGTCTCAAAAAAGTTATATTAGAATTGTACCGGGTACAGAGAAGGGCAAAAAATATGATTAAGAGCATGGAACAGCTTCTGTATGAAGAGAGATTAAAAAGATTGGACTTTTCAGCTTGGAAAAGAGACAACAAAGGGGGGGTATGACAGAGGTTTATAAAATCATGAATGGTGTGGGAGAAAGTGAATAAGGAAGTGTTATTTACTCCTTCACATAACACAAGAACATGGGGTCACCAAATGAAATTAATATGCAGCAGGTTTATAGCAAACAAAAGGAAGTACTGCTTCACACAACTCATAGTCAACCTGTGGAACTTGTTGCCAGGGAACTATAACAGGGTTCAAAAAATAACTAGTAAGTTGTTGGAGGATAGGTCCGTCAATGGCTATTGGCCAAGAAGGTCAGAGATGCAACCCCATGCTCTGAGTGTCCCTAACAGTCTCTGATTGCCAGAAGCTGGGCGTGGACCACAAGGAATGGATCACTTGATGATTGCCTGTTCTCTTCATTCCCTTTGGGGCACCTGGCATTGGCCACTGTTGGAAGACAGGATACTGGGCTAGATGGACCACTGGCCTGACACAGTATGGCCGCCTTATACGTTTGTATTCAACACCTAAAATAAATATGCAAAATATGTCTCTTCACGTCTTAAATAGAGGAGTCTTTTGAAGGTCACACATTGGCTGATTTGAATATAATAATGCAGTTTGGCTAAAAAAATTAGGTTTTCTTATATCTAAAATCATGAAATCTTGAAGGTAGCTTGTAATTCTACAGCACTCCCTCCGGTGCTGAAGCATTATGGGGTGATGATCACTTAGGGTGAAATCTCAGACCCATTTAAGTCAATGATGAAATTCCTATTGACCTAATTGAGGCTGGGATTTTATGTATAGATGGGATTTTCAAAAGCATCTAGGGCAGTTTTTCTCAAACTGGGGTCCGCAAGGGTACTCCAGGGTCCGCGAGCCCAGCTGATTAACTCCTCCACCTCCCTCCCTCCATTCCTCCCTTCTTGCTCCCAGTGCCTCCTGCATGCTGAGGAACAGCTGTTCTGCAGTGTGCAAGAGGGCGGGGAGAGGAGTGGGGATGGGGTGTGCTCGGGGGGGCAGAAAAAGGTGGGGAAGAAGAGGGGCAGGAAGAGGTGGGGTGGGGTCTTGGGGGAAGGGGTGGAGTGGGGGCAGGGCCTGGGGCTGAGCAGGGGTTTGTGCACTTGGGGTCCGCAAACTTTTTAAAATCAAAATGGGGATCCTCAGGTTGCTAAAGTTTGAGAACCACTGGTCTAGGGAAATTAGGAGAACAAATGTCATTGAAAATCAACAGGACTTTGTGCTCATAAGTCCCTTCAGGCAACTTTGAAAATCCCACCCTTCAACGACAATGCAATTAAACATTATAAAAACAGAGCAAAATATAAACAAGTAAATGTATCATCATAAAAGTATCGGGGGAAGAGCAATCAAGACAAAAACTACTCTGAGAAAATGCTGGTGTTCTTTTAAATGGGGAAGATAGGTGCCCAGGATGAGCAAGCTACCTACCAAAAGTACCAGCCCAAAACATGATTCCCCGCTGATCCATAGAGTGAAAGTGGGGCCCTGCAGGGAAGATGATAATATTATACTGTCACCAACCAGGGCAAAGCTTTTGGAGGAGGTTTCTCTCCATTAAGGGCTTTTAATACAACAGAACCTGCTTAAAACTAGTCTGCCCCTTTCTTTGCAACCAACAGAAAGAACACAAGGCAGTTGACCATGGCTACGGAAGCCTGTGGCCAAGCTTGCTATTGCATTTTGTTCCAGCTATAAGTATGGTAGAAGCCCTACTAAGATCTGAACTATGTGATGACAATTAACCGTATCTGAACAGTATTTCAGTAATTGTGCTAGCTGACTTTGTGCTGATAGTAGTTTTTCCTTGTCTGCATTTACGGCTAAGCCACCTTCAGGCCTGGTTCAGCTAACAGGATTGTTGAAACCATGTTAAGCCATGGTTAAATTTCATATTGTAGACGAGGCCTAAGAAGAATTAAAACAGTTGAATTTTGTAATCCCAAAGGCATGTATTAGTGTTGCAGATTATCAGTGAGTAATTGTTTTTAGAAGAATTTGTAGCCCTTTTGCTTTGTAATGTAGAATTTATTGTATAATATTACTTGTGGGAAATTAATTCTGGTGCATCTTTACAAATGGTACATTTGCTGCCATTTCAATTTGTAATGACTGCAGCTGGTCTAGAGATCTGCTTTTTAAATATTACTGTAGTAGGGTTATCAGGTTCCTCACAGCTTGTTATCAAATCCTTAGTTCCTTCTGTTCACTATGGAGTGACTAACACTTTAAACGCTGCACAATGGGAGTATGGCCAACTGGTAGCTATTAATGAACTATTTTTGTATATTCCTTCTTGTTTGTCTTCCTATGGCCTGGAGTAATTCCTGGGGACTGAGTTATTGGAATAAAATTTGTATTTTGTAAACTAGTTGATCCACATACTTTTATTACAGTTTAAAAATTAAACCCCTTCCTTCTCAGCAAGGTTTCCTATTACTTAATAAAGTATCAAGTCAGATCCAGTTCCTGTAGATCTTCCATTGACTTTAATGGAAGTTAAATTAAGCCTGTTGTAGACTCTGAACTGCTGCAGTCATGGGTCAAATTCTGATTCCACTTACACTGTGTAAACCTATTAACTCCACTGAAGCCAATGCAATCACACGAAGTATAATTACACTGGTGTAATAGAGATCAAAATCTGGCCCAGTACATTAAACCAAGCATTCTGAAACATTTTCATAGTGTGCACTATATCTTAATAGAGAAATTGTCTCAAGGATGACCTCCTTCCCGTTAGCACTGGCAAAGATCAGTTTGTGAACCTTAGTATTAGATTATTCACGAAACTGAGTTACAAGCTTAATTTGGTCCACCCTGGTAGTAAGTGCAAAAGTATGACCAGTCCACAAGGT